TCTTAATACATACTCTCTTAAGATATAGCAAAGTGTTACACTTCCATCTCTTCTATAGTAGAAAAATATAATTAAAAGATAACTCTCCCATGCGATAAATATTTCATATTAATTTGATCCAGATTCTATTCTATGCAAAACTAATTGATGTCATCATAATCTCTTCTTTTTTTTGGTCTCTTTTATGAGTAAATTTTGCCCAAAACAAGTCCTAGAAAAGTGACAAAAAACTGAAAATTAATTATTATTAATTCATTTTCAAACAATCATGCGCGCTTATCAATACTTAAAAAAATTGCACATAAGTCATTATTATTGTTGTTATTACACTTCAAACCATATTTGTTAAGACTAATGTCTGTTCATAAAGTAAATTTGATATTTAGTATTCCTCTTGCTATGCATTTATGCTTACGCGGTAACCTTGCCCAGAAGAACTCATACTTAACAGAAGTTTTACGAAGGTTTTTGCAAAATTTACAAAAAAAAAAAAAATAGTTTGACAACATAAAAATTTTTTTATTTTTTTTATCTTTTAAAACAGGCAGCACTATATATGAAGACTTCGTACATCGAAGGGAAAGTTCTTTTCGTAATTAAAATAAAACAAAATCCTAGTCTCCGCGTGTGGTCCGAAATGTGAAAGTTAATCAAGGCTTTTATGCAATCCTCGATGTTGTCAAAAAATTTTTTCACTCTAACATGACTTTGACAATATCGTCGCCGGCTTAAAGCCGATGGCACAGAGCACAAAAAGATCGAAACCGCTTATTGGAAATTTTTCAAACCATCTTCTACATGATCTGTCAGAACCTGTAGCCTTCAACCAACATTTTCGGTAAATTTCTACACGTTTCTGACACAGAAACGTAAATGAGCGTTAATGGTAACCAATGAGGTACAAGTTCACTTAACACTGCCTGAAATCATCGTTAATAATTTAACTCTAGGACTCATCCTACTTTTTTCATTCCTAGAATTTATTTTATTTATTTATTTGCTTTAATTTATTTATTTAATAATAATAATAATAATAATTTTTTTTTGTAAAAATAATTTTCTTAATAATATATTTTAATTTTTGCAGTGTAAATATTAATGCATATGTAAATGCAATAAAATTTTATATGTCATCGTTTATACCATATGTATGTAAATAATTCCATTTACTTATTACACGCGCAACGATCATAAAAACGGCAAAGCCAATGTTTTACTTCTTTTTTTTTTTTCTTTTCTTTTCTCGCAAAATACTCTCTCGCAAGCTAATGCTTAACATACTAATTGGATACCGATTTAGATAAGGGGTGAAAAGAGTGTCAGAGAAAGGCTTACGTTTATGTGTTGATTTACTTAAAGATTACCAAGCGAAGAGTAAACGTTTCTCTCCTTTTCACATTCTCGCTCAGTAACTGTTGATCTCATATCTTGTCAGCATCTTCTTTAGTGTTTGTATTAAAACGAGAAGAAATCTCTCTCTCTTTCTCCCTTTCACTCTACGTAGTATATTAACTCTGTATTAACAATATTAATAACATGTCTGGACAGGTGTAAATGAGTTTGAAAAACAGTGAAAAATTTTCTAAAAATTCATATGAATTTTGGTATGACGATAGCATATTATGATAATGAGTCATACACTCGTACTATTATAATATTCTACCTGGAAGTTAACTTCAATCGAATTAAAATAAACTAAGAAACTTTACCGCAAATTTTTCTTTAGCATATCTTTATAAAATTTTCATTTCATATTTCTTTACTTTTTAAGGCAGAAGGATTAGTTCTGATGGAGATGGTAACGCTTTTTCCAAGGATGTAATAATATGCTGTTGTTATATAGACGCGCAGCTTAAAAAATATTTCGCTATAAGGACTCGGTACAGTTTCTAAGAAAAGATTGCTATATATAAGTGCAGCTTAAAAAAGGTTTTTATCTAATTAGAGGAAAATATTTCGCTATAAGGACTCGATAAAGTTTCTAAGAAAAGATTGCTATATATAAGTACAGCTTAAAAAAGTTTTTTATCTAATAAGCGAAAGTATTTTGTTGTAAGAACTCGGTAAAGCTTCTAAAAAAAGTATTGAAAGAAGATCAGAGAACTTTTTTTTTTTTTTTTTTCATTTTACTTATCAAAAAGTTATATTTGCGATAAAACGCTCTGTCTTTTTGACATTGTTGCGTCGACTGTTCATTTTATTTTGTTTAGAAACTTCCCCTTTGGGGATGCTTTAGCTATTGTTGTCTTCTCTTCAAAGGCTTTACTCGTCACTTTTGCGATTTTCTGTTGATACTGGACTAAGCGAAGTTGTGATCACATCCTAGCTGGCTTTAAATGATGTTCAGGAAGGTCGAGCAGAGCCTCTGCGGATAAATCTTCGAAATGAATATTTTTTAAGAGGAATTTCTTCTTCGGGTGGAGATTTTAATTCTTTCTTTACAGGAATTGGTTGTGGTTTGGCAGACGATGAATCTCTCTTGTTATATGTGCTACCCAACCAATAAGAGGGAAGTAACTTTTTAAAAGAAAATCTTTTTACATTTTTATCTAAATAAGAGAAAATATTTCATTATAAGAAAGCAGGGAAATGGAAATAAATTTCGTTTTTTTTTTTTTGAATTCTTCACTTGACTTACCAAAGCGAAAGTTTACAATATTTGTCTGAGATTTTGCTGGTTGCGGTACTTCATCTGTTTGCGATTGTGTTGATTGTTCGTTTAGCTTAATAGAGCGTGCTTTGGAACCTTTCTTCTCGGATAACTTTGCCGGTTTAATACTAGAAGCTGGAGCCACTGATCCCTTCTTTTCAAGCGGTTCACTTTTTATTATAGCAACTGGAGATGGTAATGACTCCTTTAATTCGGAAACCGCTGAGTTCTCCTTTTCAAGTGGTTCACTTTTTATTAGAGGACTTGGAGATGGTAATGGCTCCTTGACTTCATAACCGTCGGGAGGTTCGTGCAATGCAGTTTTCAACGATGCTCGTGAATACCGCGAAGGTTGTACTACAGATCGAGAGGAACGAAATATTGGAATGTCTTCTTCTTCTTCTCCTTCTTGTTTATTCATTTATTGATTTTGAAGAATTCTCTGCTTTTCTAACATGATTGACGCATAATACGATACGAGATATAATTTTTTGCTGCAATTTTACATCAAAACATAATTTTCTATTTGTATTTTTTTTTTAGCCTACAAAAATTTTAATATTTAATTTTCAACTAATAATACGAATACGAATTTCAGAAAAAAAAAAAAAGACGAAAAAGAAATGCAAAGTTGCTTGAATTCTATAGATGAACTTGGAAGATGATTCAAAAGAAAATAAATAAAATAAATAATAAATAACAAAATTTTGTCTTTTTGGCCATGTGATCTGTTCATCCATTTTTAATTTAAACAAAAAAAAAAATAGATAAATTTCAAATAAAATTGACTTTGCCTTACGAAGGGACTAACCTAAAGCTGAACGTAAAATGGACTTTGCTGATATTGCTGTACATTCTTTATGCAGCAACTAAAATAAATGCTGAAAGAATTGTTGGTTTTGTTGCAAAATTTGTTTTTAAAATATTCATTTCGTTTCTGGCAACGTTTTTAAAAGTTTCTTAAAATTTTATTGAAACGAGCAATGCCGTTTTATTAACAATTCCCTACTACTCATTTTTACATCCGCTTCTACTGCTGCTAATGAAGCTCGCTTACGCTTTACAACACTGATTCAATTGTAAGTCTCTTTCTTCTTCTTCTTCACATCATCGACCAGCTCATTAATCCGGAAAAATACATCTCTGTATGGGTAATAGAAGAAGGGCTGAAAAAGATAGTCCTATTTTAAATTTTAAATTTCATAATGGCAACATCTTGTAAAAGAAATCAACAACAATTTCGAAAAAGCGACAAAAGCAAAATGATTTACTACAAAACGTTTATTCAGTCGTAAAGGAAATAAAAAGCCAATAAATAACGAGGCGGTTAAAATAAAAAAAGAAGAATAAATTTATTTTATTAATATAAAAGAAGGAAATTAATTAAATCACACAATACAAGTACAGATAAAGAAGAAGAGTATAAGTAAATATTTGCTTAAGAGAAACTCCATAGCAGACAAAGTAGTGAAAAAGAATGTGAAAGAAGAAGATAAAAAATTAATTTCTTTTGTTTTCATACAATTGTTCATCGCCGCCATTTGCCTTTACACTTTTTTGGCACAGCTTTTATCGTGCACATACATACACGCACACACACATGCATTAGAAAAAAAAAAGCAGCACAGCAACAACAAGCAAAAATAGTTTTATTTTATTTTTATTTATTCATTTATTTTTTTTTTTTTTGTATCGTTTCTTCGTCTTCGTTTCATGTTGATTCGCGTTATGGCTTTCGTGTTCTAAAAATTTATCAAGTCTTCGTTTGTGCCTGTTCGTTTATTACCGTTTGTGTTTAGTGCGTTTTTGCTCAGCCTTCTCAAGTGGTGTTTCTCGCTCCGTGCGTTCTTTACTATATACTATATACGCGGTGGTATATATTTTCTTTTTTTTTTGTTACTTATACACATACAAACAAATATATTTCCTCCTCTACTTTTGCTTATGTTTAATTCGTTGCCTGCTGCTACTGCTACTGAACGGAGAAAACTTCCTCAAAAGTAATTGAAACAAAAACAATCATTGTTTTTTTTTCATGCTTTTTGGAATTTTCTTTTATATAGCAATCGGAAATAAGTGAAAGAAAAGTCGAAAGAAAACAAAAGTCTTTTGAAGAGGAAGTGAAGAGAAAAACAACTCCTCTTTATATATATATATTTATATATATACATTTATATATACGTGTAAGTGCATTTAAATTGAAGGAAATACGTAGGCGTTTTACACTGCTGTTGATTAGTTTGAAAAGCGAAAACATTATTTAACCAATTATTTGACAGTTAGTTAAGATGCGTGTTTCTATGTGAAAACACTTTTTCTTTTGCATAACACTTAATTTACATGATATTTAGCCAAAAGCTCTTAACCTCACTCAATTTACCCTCTTTTTTTTTATTATTTATTTATTTAAAATGAAAATGTGTGATGTCTGATGTGCGCTTGTGTATGACTTTGTGCCCCACTTTGCGATAAAATAAATTTAAATAAGCTTTTCATTTATGTTTATCATTCATTCACTTTGCTGCTTCTCAGTCAACAAGAATTTTGCAAATTGTCTGTTCATATGTGTGCGCGTGAATGTGTTTGCAAAAAAAAATTTATTATGCTCATTATCGCCTCGCGCCTTATGTCACACTCACTGCAATCGGAACCCCTTCGTTGATATTTTAGTTTCTGTCAATAAAAATATTCACTGAATTTTTTTTTTAAGCTAATCAAAAATAATTTGCACTATAGAGCAAATGAATGCGTATAGATGTTTGCGTGTGCTTTTTGTAATTGCCAATTAAGTAAAACGATTCATATGTATTTAAATTTATCGCCGTCGTACACATTATGTGCTCTCCCTCTATTTGCCAAAAACATGAAACTTTGTTTGTTTTTCTTAGCAATTTCCTGTGAATTTGTAGGCAATTAACTCTTCTTTTTTTTAAAGTTTATTTGAAAAGAAACCACTTATATTAAGTAAGTTGTTCTTCCAAAATATGAAAAATGTTTTATATAAAATGCTACAAAAGGAGAAGCGACAAGCGGGGGAAAAGCCACATACAAAGCGCACTCTGCTATAAAATAGCTCCAAAAATAGCAAATAATTTAGAAAATTCTCCTTGTTTTTTCACAATTCTCTCATTGCAAAGTGACGAAAAAAATGTTTCAAAGTGTTACCAGATCATGGTTTTCTTTACAGTGACATATAGAATAAATTAAATTAAACTTCTCTCACAAAAAAGCTCAACTTGTTGACAATGAAAATCTTTTTAGCAAAAAAATTGGACTAATCGAGAATCTTCTTTGATTTACAAAAGTTCTCAGAATCCCTTTCAAATTTTCTTCAAATATTATTATGAAACAATAATTGTATGTTTAAGTGCAGGAATTTTTGCACCAAAGAAAGTCGAAGGAGGGTTCGCAACCAAGGATAGGGGCTCTTTTTTTTTTTTTTAAGAAAGATTTTTAAGAATATTTACCTGCGAAGTTTATAAAATTAGTCATGTCTGCAGTATACATATATTTTTGCAAAACTGAATATATTAATGATTAAAGCGTAGTACGATCGCCAAACGATGCCAATGATTTCTTTTGAAACTCTATTCTAAATAACAGTAAAGTGTGTCCAATAAAGTTCTCTTACACGGTTATTTCTTCGGTCTTTGTTAGATGTTGGGCCATTTTGCTAAAGTCAGCAATGTCCGTTAAAGCATTAAGTTGCTATGCGAGAATTCCGAGTAGAAAGTTGTGAAAAGAAGAGCGGAAAGTTTCTTTCTGTAAGCTTTGGTTCTAAAGGTTTACTTCTTAACTCTTTAGTTTTTTCAATTCATTTCTTTAAATCACAAGAAAAGCAAAATCTTGCGGAATTTTTTTTGAGTGGACTTATAAGCCAATCCTTATTAGTTTAGTCCAGTTGATCTTAACAAACAAAAAGGTTTAGCTTAAATGACTATTCAGGTCTAAATGCCTTTACAATTACAAGCAAAAATGTAATCACCTATGGAAAATTTAAATCTCGCTTCCTTTTTGAATTGAACAGAAAGAGCTGCGAAAATGAAAGCTAACTTCTAGATACATGATTATGCCCTTGACATTAAATCGTTGCGTAATGCTTGCAGCAAGAAAATTCAGCAAAAATAAAGATACTATTTAATTAAAGTTTAGTAATTAAAAGCATCTGGCAACACTTTTTCTATATATACCTGCAGTGGAAATCAATATTGGCTGCCATATAAGAGCAAAAGAGACAACACCATATAATTGAATGAAGGTTGAAAAAGACAAAGTGAAAGAGAAAAAACTGGCGCGAACTGAACGAAGAACACGACAAAATATAACGAAAATGGCGAACCGACAAACGAACGAATAACCGAAGACGGTAACGATGATGAATGTATGTGTACGACCTAAGTAAGCAATCATAACGAAGTGTGAAGAAAAGAAAAAAAATTCATTTTTCTAATTATTGAAAATTATGCTTTGCTAGCAAAATTCCTTCAGCTAAAAAGATATAATAAAATAGGAAAATTAAAAAATGTCGAGAATTATTTATAATAAACTAAAGAGAAATTCACATTACTGAAGTACAAAATAAAAAAAATAAAAAGAAAAAAAAAAACGAAAGGAAAGAAAAAACGAAAAAGTATTTATGCGAAGAAAAGTTAAGCAAAAGTAAAAAAAAAAGAACTAACCACAAGATTGTGGAAGACAAGAAGAAAAAAAAACGACTAATTTGTATAGTTTTAAATAAAACACAATTCATCCATCGGAAAAGTGGTGGGAGAAGAGTCAAAACGAATATAGTGATCAGAAAATTTGAGTGAAAAAGAATAGCAAAAGTTATCTTTTTTTTTTCTACAAAAAAGTGGTTTACAATACCAAAAAAAAAATTTGATGTAAATACATCTCACTAAATGGAATTATTTTTCTTAAAGTAAATATTAAATAATTGGAACGAAATGAACACAAACGGGCAAGAAAAACTAATTGCAGTGTTCTTTTACTGTTTGCGCTAGTGCTTGTGACGTCAAAACTTTAAGAAAGCTTAGCAAACAAAAACAACTCGGCGGACTCAGCAACAATTTCTTTCACTTCTATCGCAAAACAAAAACAAATTTGGAGTCAATTTGTTGTTTCTTTCTTTTTCTTTTTTTTTTCATAGTTTTCCGGTTATAATGTTTTTGTAACTAATTTGTTTTGCTTTCAAAATACTCTTGTGTTATAGGGCGGGAAGTAGGAAACACGCCTGTTATAAAGCGCGAAACTATTAACATTTATTGTTGTTTTTTTCATCCTTTCTTTTGTTGCGGAAAAAAATTACGCAAAAGCGATTAATAAATAGAATGTATTATAAAAATTGCGTTAATGTCAAAAATTAAAATTTATAATATTACACTCTAATAACAGCAATAACAACGACACAACAACAGCAGCGGTAATATGACATTTATCATTGATCGTCAATAAAAATTCATAATAAAAATTCATTGAATAAACGCTTTAAATTACGCTTAAAAGCAACGTAACCAAGTAAAGAGAAAGAGGAAAAGAGTGAATAAGAAAGAGAGGTGAGTCGTGTCGATTACTTTTTTTTTTTTTTTTTTTTTTTGTAAATATGTGTGCAATCCGTCATATGGATTGTGGCATTTGTGTGCGGGCGGGTTGTGTTTTTTTCTTTTTTGTTGATGTGCCCTTCAAATATTTACATGTAACCTTGCAAGGACATGTCCGATTTTGTTTTTTTTTTGTTTTTTGATAAGAAAAAAAAGCTGTTTTAGCTGTATCCTCAATATTACAAAGGATTTCGTGGTTTAAGTAATAGAAAATATTAACTGAGAGAAAAATGTATTGAAGATGACCATAATATAGAAGAGGATAAAATAAAAACGATGTTCACCCAGTCCTCTGTTTCTCATGTACATCAATTTTTAGCACACCAAACAAAAATAAACAACGACATTGGCCTCCGTGAGTGATATAAGAACGTAAGGGAAATTAATTCAAACATGTGCAAACAGTTCATATTTAATTGATTGGAATAGTTTTTGGAGCCAAATTTTTAAACAATTATGATGAGTATTGGATTACTTAACCATTTTTTTTTTTTTAAGGTGAACTTGTTTGATTCCATCTAGTACAGAATAGAGTAAAAATGGGCTGAGACCAAGCCCTAAAGATCCGCGAAATGACAAGGAGCCCACATAAGTGGTTCGCAAATCATTCATCTTGGAAAACTTAAACATGAATGGAACGATTAAAAATGAGAATAATGTCTGTCTTTTATAAGCCGCAAACGTTAAAACTGCATCACGGATCGCGAGTGGTTAGCAATGCATTGTGAATGTGTTAAAAAGTGGTCCTGCTGGTCCATTTGAGGCATAGAAAGTTTGGCCGTAAAATTGACAGCAAAGTGCGATGACCTTGGCTTCAAAGTTTGTCTTTCTATTTTAGGTAATTAGCTGAAACTCCTTAAATGGCCAACCTTACAAACCTTAACCGATGGAGAGTAAGAGACTGATTGCTTCGAATATGCCAGAAGTCAAAATTGGGGACGGGTGGTTTTGAACTCTCTCCCTATTGAGATAACTATTGTTCAAAGGAGAGAT